AAGATACTAGCAGAGTAGGGTTGATTACAACTTTCTCAGTGTACATCATCCATCTATCTTATCTAATCTATCTATCTAATTCTCATCTATCTATCTATCTATCTATCTATTCTATATCTAATCTATCTATCTATCTATCTACTTCTATCTACTATCTTATCTATCTATCTATCTATCTATCTATCTATCTATCTATCTATCTATCTATCTATCTATCTATATCTATCTATCGCTATCTATCTATCTATCTATCTATCTATCTATCTATCTATCTATCTATCTAATCTATCTATCATCTATCTATCTATCTATCTATCTATCTATCTATCTATTCTATCTATCTATCTCTCTCTCTCTCGCTCTCCTCTCTATCTATCTATCTATCTATCTATCTATTATCTATCTATCTATTATCTATCTCTCTATCTATCTATCTAGCTATCTATATATATCTGCTATCTATCTATATATTATATCTATCTATCTATCTATCTGTCTGTCTGTCTGTCTAGTCTGTCGGTCGAGTGTCTGTCGGTCGGTCGGTCGGTCGGTCGGTCGGTCGGTCGGTTCGGTCGGTCGGTCGGTCGTGGTCGGTCGGGTCGGTCGGTCGGTCGGTCGGTCGGTCGGTCGGTCGGTCGGTCGGGTCGGCGGTCGGTCGGTCGGTCGTCGGTCGGTCCGGTCGGTCGGGTCGGTCGGTCGGTCGGTCGGTCGGTCGGTCGGCGGGTCGGTCGGTCGGTCGGTCGGTCGGTCGGTCGGTCGGTCGGTCGGTCGGTCGGTCGGTCTGTACGTCTGTCCGTCTGTCTGTCCGTCCCTCCGTCATTCTCCACTTTGTGGATTTAGGTCCTAACGGAGCTAGACTTGTTTTCCAGAATCGACTTTGGCCTCCAGGTGGACCTAGCCTTAAACAGGCACCAGGTAAAGTCATGGGAAGTAAAAGCAGCAGGTGGGATGTTGACCTACCGAGTACCGATGGGTCTATAATATAAAGGTCTAGCCCTATATGCCAAAAAGGCTTGGAGTCGCGCAAAAAGGTCTTAACATTTTACTTATCAGACCGTCCCACCACCCCTCCCCCTCAAACAGCGTTTGCATTATATATTTAGGTTTTCAGCGTGTTTCATCATCCTAAATCAACAAGTTCTTTACAGAACGTGACTCTCTTCACGGCACGCCTGAAAGTATCCCTTTCCTAGCTCTCCAGCCCCATGTGCTTTCAATGTCAATGCCCCTTCAATGTCCTGTATCCATCTTCACTGTGGTCGACCCCTGCCTCGCCTTCCACAAACTGCTCCTTCCATCACCGTATCTTCCAAGCCACGCTTCATGTGGCCAAAATACTTAAACTTTCGGGACTGTATGCTGTTTATGAATCAGTTTTCCCTGATGTTCAACTCGTTTAGAATGTTTATGTTTTTCCTTTTCCTGATCCATGGTATTCTAAGCATTCTTCTAAAACATTGCAATTCAAAATCTCCAATCTTTTTCCTCAGTGACTGAAGGAGAGTCCAGGACTGGCAATTGTAAATTACCACATGAAAAATTAATGATCTCGAGATTTTTACTTCACCAGTTTAATATAAAAAGTTTATATAAAGTTAAATAATGGCACTTCTGATTGCAGCCTGAGGCATTTAATACATGTGCATGCAGTTTGTCGAGACTGCTCTCTGTTTCACATTTGTTTTAGGAGACAGCGATGATCATTCGGTGTAGTTTCCTCTGGCCCAGGAACGCAGCAATTATAAGGTGGTCTGTTTGCCGCAAAGTTGTAGTCATCATCATTACGTGCCCTACTAATTGGCGTAGTTGCTCATGCGTCTCCACAGATCACGATCCATGGAACAGCTCTCTTGATAATATCCCTCCATGCCATCGTTTCAGCCCATCCAGCATCATCTCTTTCGGTCTGCCTCTTTCCCACTGATCCTTCCAGTTGTCACGATGTTCTCCGGTGTCTCTCTCTTCTCATTATGTGGCCAAAGAACAGAATTTGGACTAAGTGAAGTTAAACCCAACAAGGACCGCATACTAAGCGACGGTGACGCAAAGTGTCAGCATTCGGGCGAGAATCCCACGGTACAAAACCTCTTTTAACCGTGAGGTTATAGCTACGGCCACTGATTGTTACAAAATCACACGGAGACCTGATAGGGTAGGGCTATGATTGTCACTAAGAAGCTGGATCTGTTATTAGCTGATTAATAAACCGTTTATGAAGACAGTCAGTGTATTTTTGTAGACAGTCAGTGTGTTTTTGTAGACAGTCAGTGTGTTTTTGTAGACAGTCAGTGTGTTTTTGTAGACAGTCAGTGTGTTTTTGTAGACAGTCAGTGTGTTTTTGTAGACAGTCAGTGTGTTTTTGTAGACAGTCAGTGTGTTTTTGTAGACACAGTGTGTTTTTGTAGACAGTCAGTGTGTTTTTGTAGACAGACAGCGTGTTTTTGTAGACATACAGTGTGTTTTTGTAGACACAGTGTGTTTTTGTAGACAGACAATGTGTTTTTGTAGACAGACAGTGTATTTTAGTAGACAACTACGCTTTTGTAGACAGTCAGTGTGTTTTTGTAGACAGACAGTGTGTTTTTATAGACATACAGTGTGTTTTGTAGACAGTGTGTTTTCGTAGACAGACAGTGTGTTTTTGTAGACAGACAGTGTATTTTTGTAGACAGTCAGTGTGTTTTTGTAAGCATACAGTGTGTTTTTGTAGACAGACAGTGTGTTTTTGTAGACAGACTGTGTGTTTTTGTAGACAGTGTGTTTTTGTAGACAGTCAGTGTGTTTTTGTAGACAGACAGTGTGTTTTTGTAAGCATACAGTGTGTTTTTGTAGACAGACAGTGTGTTTTTGTAGACAGACAGTGTGTTTTTGTAGACAGACAGTGTGTTTTTGTAGACAGACAGTGTGTTTTTGTAGACAGACAGTGTGTTTTTGTAGACAGACAGTGTGTTTTTGTAGACAGACAGTGTGTTTTTGTAGACAGTGTGTTTTTGTAGACAGTCAGTGTGTTTTTGTAGACAGACAGTGTGTTTTTGTAGACAGACAGTGTGTTTTTGTAGACAGTCAGTGTGTTTTTGTAGACAGACAGTGTGTTTTTGTAGATAGTCAGTGTGTTTTTGTAGACAGACAGTGTGTTTTTGTAGACAGACAGTGTGTTTTTGTAGACAGACAGTGTGTTTTTGTAGACAGACAGTGTATTTTTGTAGACAACTACGCTTTTGTAGACAGACAGTGTGTTTTTGTAGACATACAGTGTGTTTTTGTAGACAGACAGTGTGTTTTGTAGACAGACAGTGTGTTTTTGTAGACAGACAGTGTGTTTTTGTAGACAGTCAGTGTGTTTTTGTAGACAGACAGTGTGTTTTTGTAGACAGTCAGTGTGTTTTTGTAGACATACAGTGTGTTTTTGTAGACATACAGAGTGTTTTGTAGACAGTGAGTTTTCGTAGACAGACAGTGTGTTTTTGTAGACAGACAGTGTGTTTTTGTAGACAGACAGTGTGTTTTTGTAGACAGACAGTGTGTTTTTGTAGACAGACACGGTTTTTGTAGACAGACAGTGTGTTTTTGTAGAGAGTCAGTGTGTTTTGTAGACAGACAGTGTGTTTTTGTAGACAGTCAGTGTGTTTTTGTAGACAGACAGTGTGTTTTTATAGACATACAGTGTGTTTTGTAGACAGTGTGTTTTCGTAGACAGACAGTGTGTTTTTGTAGACAGACAGTGTGTTTTTGTAGACAGACAGTGTGTTTTTGTAGACAGACACGGTTTTTGTAGACAGACAGTGTGTTTTTGTGGGCAGTCAGTGTGTTTTTGTAGACAGTGTTTTTTTTAGACAGTGTGTTTTTGTAGACAGTGTGTTTTTGTAGACAAACAGTGTGTTTTTGTAGACAGACAGTGTGTTTTTGGACATATTTTCAGAAGAAATGGACTTGGGAACTTGGTAACAGCTCGCAGGATTGATGGAAAGAGAGCAAAAGTATGGCTAAGAAAAGATCAATATCTGAGAGGCCTAGCAACATGGATGGGCCGAGATTTGAAGAAGAAAAAACATTGACCTGATCCGTGACTCTGGTGATCATGTGAGACGGCGAGACATGACAGCCCATGCCTACCGGCACGGCACATGATATTGATGTAATAACATAATGGGCCAAAGGTTAAAATAAACATAAAGAGTAAGTTAATAAAACTACTGGGTGGAGTCAAGTGAATTAGAACAAACATATCTCATAAGAAATCAAGGGTAAACTCGTAGTGCGTTGTTTGGTCCTCAATGAGTTAATCATAAAATTCAATATTTCCCCAGATTTTCCTGTTACGCTGGTGTTGCTTTATTCCCGGGAACCTCCTGGTGCGGCCCCAGTGGAGAGTTTATTGAAAACTGGGGCAGTAACAGTTTACGAAAGGTATAGTTTGGATTATTAGACTTTTCGATACTTTTTTTTTCTTCTGTCGGTACGCCGGAGTTTACAGCCGGTGAACGTGAAGAAGAAGAAGAAATTCATTAGCTTCCTTCCTTTTATGCCACATTCAATAATAAAGTCGATCAAAGTAAATAAATAATTGATTGGTTTGAGACTACAAATCATTGATTACCTGGCATATTCAAAGATAATGAAACCCCCGCAGCAAATGTCGTGCGGTGCAGATGTTTTATGCAGCATACGTCTGTTGAAAGATTCTCCCACAACAGACTGGAAATAGGACACTATGATTTTTGATACTTAATTATCAGTTAACCATCTCAAGCAGTCGTAACTGCCTCCAACTCCATTCTCACAATTGAGTTTGTAGATAGATCTGCGCGAAGACGCCTGTCCTCAGTGTCAAAAACACAATGATATTAAACACTATTTATTAAATGCAACACAGTTTATTAATCGGGTGTTTTACTCGGGACCAGCTACTGACATACGAGTTCATAAAGGCAACCCACCTGATGATCTGATCTGAGCATACGAAACCAAAAGAAAAAAAAAAAAGACTCGGGACGGAACCCAGTATTTCGTTTATAACTCGGACAATAATAAAGATATGACAACGAAATATGGAGTGGACACCTCAGATCATGCGAAGTCGGGTGACATCATAACAGATGCTGGAAATGGCCATCACTGGCGTCCAGGCAGCACTGGACGCGGCGTTCCATATTGTAGAATATCAGTCTTAGCACAAGCTTGATAAACGGGTGCGAATCAAGGTCACGAGATGTTTTGCTGCCTCCACGTAAAGGCTGGCCATTTCCAGCTCCTGTTAGGAGCCTGAACATCAAGAACAACTGGCTCGTCAACAGCATCCGCTCCTGAAAGCTGGTGTATTTTAAACATGTCAAGTGACATGTTGGTCTGGAGAAAAAAGGTGATAGGGGATGCAGTTTCGGGAAATGAGACAGAGGCGGACCAGCGCAAAATGGACAGAGGACATTGAAGATGCTTGCATTGCTTGTGAAAGCCCACAGAGCTGAGGAATTGGTTACAGAAAGATAGACTTTCAGGGGTGCTGTAAAGAGATCGAAGTTCTGTAAAGGACATTCGATTTGACTGATTGATTGATTGACTGACTGATTGACTGACTGACTGAATGAATGAGAAAAAAAAAGTTACATAAATATCTGAAGCTTATAGTCAGTCGTTGAAGCGGGGCGGCTATAGTACCTGCCCACCCATCCTGCTGTCGTAAGCTCCGATTCCAAATCGAGGCTAGTTGTTAGATTGCTCTGAGCTTTCAGATTGATCTGGCCTAAATGTAATGGTTAGGACAATGTAATAAGATCTAACAGCCTCTTAACAACAGTATCACATAGCTCAGTAGAGGGGAAGAGGAGAAGAGGTAGACCAAGAGAATCATAGATACAGAACTCGACTCACTGGACATGCCTTATTCATACAGCCATGAAGTCAATTTTATCTGACTGTCAGAGGTGGAGGGAGCTGATCATACAGTCACAAGCAGCTGGTGACCCAACAACACGTAGTCTTACACGATGAGGACGATGGTAAAGATGACCTTAAAGATATCTTGTGAAATGTCACTGAAAGTGAAGACGACATATATAACTGCATATACAACCCACCGAGTACATATTGTTCCATACAAATATGGAGTAATCACCTCATCATGAGTAACTTACAGACCTGACATTGTAAGTAAGCTTTTTTCATGGACATCTAAACAGAATACAGTCACAACACTCCCCAGAGTGCCAGCTATGTAACTACCCCTACGAAACTGTTGAACACCATCTTGTTCGAGTGCCCAAAACTCAGCGAGACTAGAAGAATGCTACTCCCTCCGAGACAAGTGGAACACCTTGTACGGAGGAAAAGAACAGCTTGCGAAAACGCAAATTCCACTACATAGCATTGGGCCAAAGGGCGAAAGCTCATGCGCCGCTACATCGATAACAACAAAAACAACAACATTACTTTTCAAGACGTCCTCCTTGAACTTGGTCTATGCAACCCCCGCCCCCTTCCCATTTTTTTCCACCCCCACCCCACCCTCCCACTTTTCCGGTCAGATTGAAACCCAAGGGTTTTGTCTTTTTTTTTTTTTTAGAATTCAGATCTCATCGTGAATGGGAAAACAACATGTAAATGTCAGATACCCTGTTCAGCCGCCAGAATATTTACTAGTCACATGTAACTGCCGGTGCAGCCTTCTGTACTGTGTGGGCAAGGAACGTGTCTACTGGGTGCTGTTTCATCATTGATACACTGGGTGCTGTTTCGTAATTGACACACTTGGTGCTGTTTCGTCATTGATACACTGGATGCTGTTTCATCATTAATACACTGGGTGCTGTTTCGTAATTGACACACTTGGTGCTGTTTCGTCATTGATACACTGGGTGCTGTTTCGTAATTTATACACTTGGTGCTGTTTCGTCATTGATACACTGTGTGCTCTTTCGTCATTGATACTCTGGATGCTGTTTCGTCATTGATACACTTGGTGCTGTTTCATCATTGATACACTGGGTTTTGTTTGTCATTGATACAATGTATGCTGTTTAGTCATTGATACACTTGGTGCTGTTTTGTCATTGATACACTGGGTGCTGTTTTATTTTTGATACAATAGGTGGTTTCATCATTGATACTATGGGTGCAGTTTCGTCATTGATATACTGGGTGCTGATTCGTCATTGATACATCGGGTACTGTTTCATCATTTATACAATGAATGCTGTTTTATCATTGATATAAATTGCACTTTTTCCCCCTCATTCGTCAGTGCGCGTGTGGCGCCGTGAACAGCTGTAGCTCCAGCTGTTACTGTGACGGCAATCAGACAGCAGCTATGGTCACAGACAGCGGCAGAATCATGGACAAATCCAACCTTCCAGTCATCAAGATCCGCTTCCGTCAGAGTCAGAAGGACAAAGGTCGCCTGGTCTTAGGCCCGGTTGTATGTTCGGATTACCCCATGGGTTGGTATTATGAGTTAGTGAAATTTTCATTCTCACTATCATCCTCTTTGGGAGATACGGTTGGGCAGTGGTCTGCAGGTCTAATGGTCAGGTTCAAATCTCTATTATGGCAGATTTCACAAATTGATCTGGGTCTCCACGTCGACCCAGTTTTAACTCCTTTAGTCCTAGGTACGACAATCCGCTATCATATAGACAATTTAAAAAATATCCGTTAGCCCAGACCCTCTCTACCACAGGTGGCCTATTGGAACCATTGTACAACTTTTCCTGGATAGAAGGTACTACAGTAGGCAACAAAGCTATTACTTGCAAACCCCCTGACTGTTTGGATTTAAACTACTCCCTAGTCCAGTGGTTATTGTTCTTACAAACTTTGCAGTATAGCTTTTTAGGTCCATTAAAGGGTTGTCTCTGATGTGTTCCCTGAAATTTTGAGGGGTTCTATGGTTGTGCTTGGGATGAAGTCTTTTTAGGGGATTCATTTGGATGGGTTTTATGACCATTACCACCATTCTTCCCTTGGCCCTGGGCCTTGGGTTTCTCACCTGTACACACCTCTTTATGTGCCATTTCATACCTCTCAGCATACATCAACATCTCATTCAGTCGGTCAGCACCATTCTCCGTCAAGAACGTTTGCATAGGGCGAGGTAATGTCTCTCGGAGTTGTTCCGTTAGGACCATCTCCTGTAAATCCTCAAAGGAAGAGGAGTATCCAGACATTTCCCTCCACCTAGTCAAATATCCCTGAAGGCGACTGGTGAACTGGGGATAGTTTTCCCCTGTCAACTTTCTCTCATTTCGGAACTTCTGTCTGTGTGTCGCAGCATTTAGTTCGAAACGTTTCAGCAAAGCCTGACACAATGCATCATAATCAGTCTCAGTACCGCTGGGCATCCGCTGATAAATCTCGTATGCCTCACCCCGCAAACCTTGAGCCAACTTCAACGTGTACATATTCCTTTCTAAATTGTACAAAGACGCCAGTTTGCCAAATTGGTCTAAGTACTGTTCAATATTCTCAGCCTTTGGGTCGAAGACTGGCATAGGAAAGTTCATCGCTTGAGCTGAGCTACTGTGCGTTGATACACCATCAATCTCTGGAATTGGAGATCTGGGTCTATTACCCTCTCTCTGCGCCTGAAGTTCCAATTCTCTTAGCCTCACCTCCTGTTCCAATCTCATTCTTTCTGACACTTGTTCCATTTTCATTCTTTCTGCCTCACGTCGGAGTCGCTCAGTTTCTTGAATCCTCTCAGATTCAATCCGGAGTCGTTCGGTTTCCTGCATCCTCTCAGATTCTACTCTGAGTTGTTCAGTTTCCTTCTCTGTCTTAATTCTGAGTCTCTCTGCCTCACGGGCTTCCATCCTCATCTCACGTTCCGTGGTTTTGATCCATTCGGTCATTTCCTTACCCTCCAATCCCATCTGGACAGCCATGTCCTTCAATTCCTGTATAGAAATTTTTGACTGCGACATGCTGTCTTGTCAATCTAACAGACCACAAACAAAATATAATGTCACCAACAATGTAAATATAATCGACAATAGATTAATTTATCACCACCCACCAAGGCTGTACCTAACCTAATATACTGGAAACACCACAAAACACCACAACCTGATCACAAATCACTCCATGGAGCACATTCTAAGAACTGACCCAGAGTGGTCACAACTGTGTTAACAACAAAATACAAACACTGAACAACCTCCTGGCCAAGATCACCAGCAACTTTAAAGATTGAACAGAGTATACAAACAATCCCGGACGAGCTCCCAGATTTTTGAGGATATGTGTTCTGTCACATATCGCTCCTGTCGCGTGCCTGATTTAAGGATTTCTCCTTAAGAACCAACAGCACTCTGAAATAATTATGTTGAGTCGTTGGCTCGTATTGGTCTAAGGGATGCCCTGTGGCCAATAAACGCTCAACTTACTTCAGGAGTAGGGCAACTCAAGTGTTGGCACTACAAAATATATAATATTCCTAGACACTTGGCTGGACACCCCCACTTCTATAAAAAGGTAGCTCCCAGGTTATGATAATATACTATCATAGCCATGTTAACACAGATAACACTTATTACTCACACAAACATCAAATCTAGACAGTTAGAATGGTGAAACAGGGATACCCAAGTCAGCCCTGAAAATGTTTACATGTAATAAGTTCAATTTAAATACACAAATAAATGAATAAATAATCAGAAGTGATCAGTTAATGGAGTTCAGGAATTAATGACCCAACCCAGATATTGAAGCAGCCAGATACAGTTCTTTAAGAGTACATGAGTTCATCCTAGGAATCTCAAGGTGCTGTTGGAAGAGAGCATGATAATGATAAGTGATCACTTAGCCCAGTTCGTAGGTCAATGCTCCCCTCAATCCATGGTGATTCGACTGTAGTTGACTCAGGTATCTATGCCTTGATTTGATCTGTACAAGTTGACTATCTCACAATCGAGGACACAGGAACTGCACAGGAACCCAACAAGTCTCTCTCACAGGTCAGGACACAAAAACTGCATCAGAGCCCAACAAAGCTCTTGAAGACTGGTTCTCTGGATTGATGACACAGATGTCTGCAATTGTCCACTCGTCCTGGAACTCACAAACAAGCTCTTGCCATGTTGAGGTAGTGGCACAATGGGCAGGACTTTTGGGTATGCTCGGTGCCCAGAATGGTATGGGTTGGTGGTTGTTGGCTGGACTGTGATTCGTCTGCCTGATCTCTAAGGAGGTATCATCCTGTCAGGAAAGAACTCAGAATTAGTAATCAACTTTAATCACACTTCAACTCACCCCACCTCTGATATCCTTCTCCATTCCTCAGAGTGTAACTCTCAAGAACAGGAGATAATGTCTCCTTTCATTTATCTGTCTGTAAACTAGTGCAACAGATAGAAAACAAGGTATATAGTGGAGATAGATAGGAACTACCACACATAGATCACCCTCTCTCCACCCTCACATCTGCACTCGCAGACATGCAATGTTTACAGTCAGTACCTATACATATTCCGTCTCCACAGGCCGTTCACTACACACCCATTGAATCTGTGTCCAACACACCTTTCGACTCAGAGCGTCTAACACTGACATCACGCAGTTACTTTAAAAGATAACCCAGATACCATTTTTCTGTTATGCGGCACAAAACTTCGTTTGACTGGTCAGAGAATAATTACTTGTAGGGTTTAATATCATTACAAATGGAGTGGGTTATGTAGAGCACCATCTAATTAGTATGTCCAGGGAAAGGTCTAACGTTCGGAGCCTGATCTCTGGACATCAAGAACGGTCGAACTCTGTGCGGTCACACAGCTGACTCTGCCCTCTCTGCAGCAGTGGCCAACTTTGAAAAGACATCAATTATGGTACTCGTAAACTATAATCAACTTACCCAAGCTTAGGAAATCTTCCAAGATAGAAATGGAACTTTAAATGCGCCAATTTCTACATAGACTGTATACACGTCTTGACACTTTGGGATCAGGCGAAAGAATTTTTTTTTAAAAATCAAACTTAGCGTCTCTAGGAAAGAAGTCCCCTGTATTCCTACCCAAGGAGTAAACCGGTTTACAGGAATTTCTAAATAAATTACCAGAAATCGTCAACATACAGTTGCAAGTTTGAAAATGAAGATTTATCAATGCAACTAGAGGGTCTAGAAATGAATATATCACCAGATAAAGGTATATATCAATATAAGTGACTATATACCCTTCCGGAAGGGTTTAGGTTTGAAATTTGACTGAGCGCGAGGGAAGTCAAAGTCACGACTCGTCCATTGTGTAGGGTTGGCTGCTCACCTCACGACAACAACAACCTTTAAACCAACATCATCATATCACAGCAATCTTTAAACCAACATCATCATATCACCACAATCTTTAAACCAACATCATCACATCACAACAATCTTTAAACGAACATCATCATATCACCACAATCTTTAAACCAACATCATCATATCACAACAATCTTTAAACCAACATCATCATATCACAACAATCTTTAAACCAACATCATCATATCACCACAATATTTCAACCAACATCATCATATCACAACAATTTTTAAATCAGCATCATCATATCACAACAATCTTTAAACCAACATCATCATATCACAACAATCTTTAAATCAACATCATCATATCACAACAATCTTTAAACCAACATCATCAAATCACAGCAATCTTTAAACCAACATCATCGTATCACAACAATTTTTAAAAACCAACATCAGTATATCACAACAATGATTAAACCAACATCATCATGTCACCACAATCTTGAAACCATCATCCTCGTCAACATCATTATTATCATAACAATCTTTATACCAATATCATCAACATCATCATCATCATCATCACATTACAGCAATCTGTCAACCATCATCTTCATAATCAACATCAATATCATAATCATTGATACAAAGGGCAGATCAATAATGTCATTTATCGCTTCTCGTGGCCCAGATATCCCCAGAGATTGTAACGAGGCCAAGTTTAAGTTCAAGGTCACAGCCAGTGGGCCCATGTATATCGATCCCGACGGCCGTGGCGGCAGCCAGCCTATCCTGGTCTACTGCAACTTTCACTCATTCGCACACCTGGCAATCACCGTCATCCGTCCGCTCAGGTGAGAATTATGTGTGTCTCTAAATGTTGAAGCTATTCTATTGACAGATACCGGATGTCTAACGAGAACCACCTTGTCTACCTTATGGGCTCCAATACGCCAAGGGGACTTAACGTCCAATAAAGTTTTTTTCAACTATATATATATGTGTGTGTGTGTATATATATATATGGCCATTGCCCTTCCCGTCTTGTTCTGATCAGTATCCATTTCCTGTGTTCACACGCGTGTCACAGCTGTGAATAGCCATACGAATTCTTCAGCTAAGTGATTTTCAGCATTCTTTTTCGGAATTGTAACATTGTCCATTGATGTTATGTGCTGATGAAGACTTTTTAGCCACAACGTTTGTGACAATGTCACGGTCACTACTTTTACTTTTCGTTTTGTTTGACGTCTTTTTATGACGTATATTTTGTGGTGTAGTAGCTGGAGCTCGCCTAACAGCCCGATGGTTTTAGGTTCGAATACCCATCAGGTAAGTTTGGTAGAAGCACTGACCTAGGTCCCCAGGTCGACTCATTTTAGGATGGGTCAATTTCAACTAGACATGTAAAACGGATGTGCACGCAAAACTCAAGCTCTGCAACACGACTCAAATCCAGATGTGGATGAAGAACCATAAGTTTCCGCCGGAGATTATAGCCGGTGACTGAGAAAACCTGAGAACAGTAATTATAGAGACTTTACATTGAAACACACAAGGGCAGATAAATAATGGCATACCAAAAAAGCACACGGGGAATGGAATTAGAAAGTGAAGGAGGTGGACGAATGAGGGGAGGTGTAGCAGCAGTTCAACAGAACTCAGACACGAAGATTTCCTGGAATTTTTGACCATGATTTGTGTTTGTATGGATACGAAGTAATGTCCTGAATTCACACAGTTCTTTGGTTTTTTTTCTAATTCATGCATAAAAATTCTTTGACTAAAGCAATCACCTATCTATTTCTTCTTGTATCCACTGAATTATTTACTAAATGATTTAGGGTTTTTATTAGACGGAACATGTGCAAATTTTAAATGTAATCTTTCCTTTACTGACTTTGTTGTAAAATGTATATGTACCCACTGTTCAATTACATAGTTAGATAGTAATTTCCATTGTAAAAAAGGAAAGGGGGAGGGCGGTGGGGGTGGAAAAGGGGTGGGGGTGTCATAATATGCCCAAATAAGGAACTCAAAATTATATAGTTTTAAAACGAATTTATTATACATTTCTAATTTTAATGTTATTTCAGTTTAAACATAAACCCGTGAACGTTTGAGAACAAAAGATATAGAAAGGAAGTTAAATGTATTCTAAAACACAACAATCGAGGAAACTGATTAACATTGAATAGGGTGAATTCGTGAGAAGTAAACTATACACACACACAAAATACCAGTTACTGCCTGTATTTAACACTTTCCCGGTGTAGACAGACATCTTTGATTTATGACTAGCTAGTGCTGTCGCCACGCACTGGACAGGTGAAGATCTAATATTTTGCCACTGGCAGAAAACAAAATCTACAATCATACGGAGGATTTGAACCCAAGTTTCCCGCATTAGAGCCCATTGTTCTTCTGACAGTACCAAAACAGGTGAGCAACAGTCAAATGACAAAAAACCACTGGTATCAACGTAAGACTAAAAAGTTTGAGGTTTAAGGTTTAAACAAAGGATTCACAACATGGCACACGTATAGTAACCCATAAGTATTCCATTCTTCTTATAATTCAAGTTTGAGAAGCTCAGCACAGTGTACAGGCTCTGTAGCACCGGCGAGGATCCTGAAATACTTTCGGTAGATTTTTAACACCACATTTTGCCCGGGCAGCGCTGTTAGCTGCTCTTTTGGAAATCCAACTGCAAAGGGACTTTTTACGTGAGCAACAATGCACATTGGCGTCCTATTTCACAACCCAGAGACCAGGGGGGAATTACTAGAAGTTCAAGTCCAAATGAAAAAATCCCAGCCCTTACTGTGGATTGAACCCGGAACATCTAGCACTCGAGGCGGACACCATGCCATGAAACCATGCCGTTCCCTAGACAAAGAAGGTAGCGCGATACTGGACACACACTGAGCAGAAGCGAGAAAAACGAAACCAGCCAGGTAGTGAAATTGGGAAGAAGTGGGTTGGGGAAACGAGCAAGTCAAACAGAAGCCCTACAAAAACGTTGATTAGAAAGAGACCAAAGGTATTGAACTGGATTCCATTCAGAATATCGAAATTATTGCACAGGACAAAAGGGAACAAAGGACTAGACTGCCAACTCAATAGGACATATAAATTGCACAAGTCAATGATAATGGAGTTGTCATGATGATGATGTCGCTGATGGTGATGATAATGATGATGATGATGATGATGATGATGATGATGACAAGCAGAGTGAGTCATTGATCAATTTTGATGCTTTGTCAACAACAGAGAAGTTCTGACACTAACAACAAACGACAGTGAAATTGTGGAGTACGACGTACCACTGTCTTTCATCCAAGCTCTTATTGGATTGTCAAAGTTCTGCTCCCAGTACGTGGAGTTTCAGTGTAGGGTGAGTGCTGATAATTAAGTCTTTACTCTTGAGCCTAGGGCGGCGCATAGGTCAGATATCATAGCTCTCCGTGTCTGGCGGTTCATCACCACTTGATTTAGGTCTTTCATGTTCCTTAGGCCTATGGTTAAGCCTTTCCTGATGAAAGTTCTACACAGGGTTTCTCTTGGTCTTCCACGTGTGTGTTTTTTCCCCTTCCGGTGTCTATTTGAGGACTTGATGGGAGAGCAATGCCACTAACTTAACATTGGACTACTATTGTTTGTATTACACTGTGATCGTTTTATATGAGTGATTCCTTATTGGTCGTCCGCTGACCATGGGGTGTTGGCAGAGCAATTTAAGGGATCTTTGATATGATTTAGAAGGGGAGCGGGTGGTGCTTTACTTTTTCGTTCACCCCCATCTCGGGATCTCCGTGATTTCGTTGAGAGTTCAAGCGAAAGACCAATATTATAGTGGGTGGGCGAGGGGGGGATGGGGAGTTGACGGTTAGTGTTAGTCGATGTTTATTTCACATCTTAACACCCCTATACTATTTTTTCAATTCTCCCGGGAACTCACCACGAAATCTCAGAGTCCCCGAAATAGAGTGAATCAAAAGAAAAAGGACAAAAGCAAAATCACCCTCTGTTTGCGGTTCTTACAATAATTCTTTCTTTCTTTCTTTCTTTGTGTTTTTTGTTTCTTTCTTTCTTTTTAATACGACCATAAAAAAATATAGTCGATGGCAGACCTTCGAAAATAAGAGGGAGTCTGGGTGTCTTATCTAATTGGAGACGATTGTTAAATCAGTCGGGGTTGGAAGGTCGAGGGTTCAAGTCCGCATTAAAGCGGATATTCTGTTTACTTGACCTTGGGGTGCCAGGGTCATGTCCTGTGAAGTAAAGGCAGCCGGCATGATATTGACCACGTCACCCACTGCCGGCAGATCGGCCTTTAAAATGTAGGTCTAGTATTTGTTGCCGGATGGGCCAAAAGACGTTTGATTTTTTTTTTTTTTAGCTGTATATGATGTTGTTTTTCTTGTTATTTTGTTGTTTTTGTTGTTGTTTTAATTTTAAAATATTGAATACTTTGTTGTTGTTGTTGTTATCGATCCCAGTGCCATGTAGTGGAATTTGCATATTTTCACAAGCTCTTCTTTTCTTCTGTACAAGATGTTCCACTTGTCTGGTCTCGGAGGGAGTAGCATTCTTCTAGTTTAGCTGAGTTTTATGCGCTCCAAGAGATGGTGTTCAACAGTTTCATAGGGGTAGTTACATAGCGGGCACTCTGGGGAGTGTTGTGGCTGTATTCTGTTTAGATGTCCATTGAGTGGAGTATGTTGTGTTCTGAGTCTGAAGATGGTGGCCTGGTCCCTTCTTGTTAGATGGTTGATGCTGTTGTTAGGATCAGGGCCAGTCATATTTCTATAAACCTCTCTTCCAGTGTCTCCTATGGTCCATCTTTCAACCAAGTCTCTTTGTTTTAGCTCTTATAAGTTTTTTTTTTTTTTCTGTCTGTAGAGTTGTCGCTGTAGATGGTTCTTCTTCTTCTTCATTTCCTCTTTTACCGCTGTGGGTGTCGAGGGAGATATAAGGTTCTGTTTCTGGCTCTTCTGGCCGCCTCGACCATAAGCGCATCGTGCTGTTGTAGAGTTTCTCTGATGTTATCCTTCCATCTTGTTCTTGGTCTACCTCGTGCTCTACGTCCTTCTCTTTCCATGTATGCTTTGTATGGTTGATTGTGTTGAAATTTATTGTATCGATAACATACATTTAGAAGAAACATCTGTTCCCTCCCGGAGTGCAGTTTGTAGGATTAACATATCATAGGTTTATTCTGAGTTGTAATTTTTATTTTATTTTTCCTCTACAATTTTGCTATGCAAAGAATTCCGGAGGGGCGTCTGTTAATGTAACTAGCTCCAACCAACGTCTGCACTACTTCCCTGGCGCTGATGGGGTGCCTGACACATGTGCCTGTGGGACAACCCGATCCTGTGAGAACCCGGGGGATAAATGCAACTGTGGTAGAACCGATGGCAAGGATCGCAAGGACTTTGGTTACATCATCGACAAGGAGCATCTCCCGGTTGTAGCCGTGGCGGCGGATGCTGGTGCTGATGGCACTCGTGTGTTTAAAGTGGGAGTTCTACAGTGCAGTCCAGAGCAGTTTGGTAAGTCTGTATTAACAGTTTAGGGGATTTTGTATTTTGTTGTCGTCTTCTTTTGTCGCTGCTTTGTTCTTTCTTTCTTTCTCTTCTTCTCTTCCAGCTGATGTGGCTTAGGTGTTGTGAACGCGCTTCGTAATGTCGTGGTGCCGGGCTCGATCGCTGCTGCGAACGATTTGTCTTGCGCTGGTTCCGACAGTGGTACCGAGAGCTGACCGTTAAGTTGGCAGTGGCAAACTACTGAACGTAAAATTTGCCTAGAAACACTAAAACAGCCAATAAATGCTGGAGTTGGTTCTGCAGCGTCCTGTAAAGGATACGCAACTAACTTAAACTTTCTGCTGCTGCGTGTTCTTCTTGTTCTTCTTCCTCTTCGTTTTCTTTTTCTTCTTCTTTTCTTCTTCTTTTTCTTCTTCTTTTTCTTCTTCTTCTTCTTCTTCTTCTTCTTCTTCTTCTTCTTCTTCTTCTTCTTCTTCTTCTTCTTCTTCTTCTTCTTCTTCTTCTTCTTCTTCTTCTTCTTCTTTTCTTCTTCTTCTTCTTCTTCTTCTTCTTCTTCTTCTTCTTCTTCTTCTTCTTCTTCTTCTTCTTCTTCTTCTTCTTCTTCTTCTTCTTCTTCTTCTTCTTCTTCTTTTTCTTTTTCTGATTTTTCTTCTTCTCCTCTGTCTTCTTCTTTTTCCCCCTTCTATTTAAAGCATAAAATGCTTGGCCCTCAAAGAAGTGTACGGCATGCTCTGTTGCGCTTTACAGCTACACCGTATTACCCACACTTGAAGTGCAGTATAGACATGGGAGCCGAGAGCCAACACATCCGCTTTCATCAATGCCTTATTTAGCCGTCCTATTACGACATGCCTGATACCAAGCAGTGTCTCTATTCTTGCCCCACTCCCACCTTTCCCCAGCCCCTCTAATTGGGACTCCGGTATCCACACTCAGGGAGTTTCTAATGTAACCTTTGAAACTGCATGGTTCAATCACGACCGGCTCCAGCTGACGGGCCGTGCTGCTGACGTCACAGGATCGAACTAACGATGCGTTAATGCAGCGGTTCTTAAACTGGGTGCCAAGGCACCCCGGAGTGCTATGAGCGTGTGGCAGGGGTGCCGGGGCAAAAATCAAGACAAGTCGGCTGAAAATTGTTTAAATATTGAACAAGGCTTGAAAGTTAAAATGTAAGCTGTCTTCCCTCGCCACTGTCGAAAATTGTTTATTTATTGTTTGAGAAGCGCTGCGTCAACGCATCGTTAGCCTGACCCGGTGACGTCAGTAGCTGTAGCCGGTCGTGGTGCAATATTATATAGGATAAAGCTTTAGGTCGAGAGTGTTGGCCCGCTGACCCAGCATAAAGCAAGCCACACCTGTTGACGCTGCTGTTATAGAACAGGCCCACCCCCGCCCTGACTTTTTCCCTTCCCTTACACTATGATCTTCGTCCACAGGTATCGAACCCAACTGTGAGAAGTACCGAGCACTGGGAGCCAAGGAGAGTCATACTTATTTTATTGACGCAGACGGCGATGGTAAGTTGCATTCATGTGGTATCATCCTAGCGAATTTCACATAAATACACATTAACTAACAACGATTGCTTGAAAAAAGCTATTGAAAGTAAATCTCTATGTACAACAATAACAAAGAGACAAACCCTGTTCTTTGAGAGAGCTGATAGTCTGGCAGATGCTTCATTAATTGAAGATGGCCGGCCCGTGGATCACGCAGACATTGTCATTGCCGTCAGAGAGATAGGATGTTCTGAGGATTTAGGAAGCAACGTGTCCACATCACTGCTAAGAATACGCGAACTGGGAGTAAAGATCCGCACAACCAAGCATGAGAAGCACACCGGACTCACACAAAGTCTTGTTAACCAACATAGGACTGGTACTATTAACCGCACGACGCTGATGAATATGTTGAGAGGGGAATCTGAGCGCCTATGGATGTGTCCGGAGGGCTGTGAAGATAATCTAACTCATAACTGTTCTTTGACCACATAATGAGAAGAGAGACAATGGGGAACATCGCAACAACTGGAAAAAATCAGAGGTAAAAGGGTTAGAGGCAGACCAAGAGAGATAATGCTGGATGGGCTGAACGATTGCATGGAGGGATATCATCAAGAGAGCTGTTCCATTCCAGGCAACCAGGGATTGTGATCTGTGGAAACGCACGAGCGCCTACGCCAGTTCGCAGGGAACATGATGATGATGAAACAGAGGGGAAAACGTTATATATATATATATATATATATATATATATATATATATATATATATATATATATATATATATATATATATATATATATTAAACAAACAGATATTGTAAATATCAGCACTCATAGGAAGAAGTAGAACGATAGGACACAAGACGATGTAAAATTCGAAATTCTTAGTTACTGTGCCGGGAATCAAATCTGTTACCTCCAAATGACGGGTGCGCTTGGCATTACAAACAAGTGTACATTACCAATTAAAGTAAAGCAAAAAGTAAAGATCCCTTTTCAAGCCTTTCGGCGCATCGGGCATATGGGCAGAGCGTCCTATATTTTTACAGACCATCAGCACTCTGTGGGTAATGTGGTCAGCATTACGCCGACTGCCTTTACTTTCCCAGGACAGCCCATCCTGGTACCCATTTTAGGCTGGAAGGACCTGCGACATCCCATACCACGACAAAAATCCACGCAGCCTGCAGTGGGTTTCGATCGCGGTATGCTGGCTTACGAGTCGGACTCGCAACGCCTTACCAATAAGGCACCCCTAAATAGAGGGGTCTCTATTGGCCATGTCTGTCGTACAGCCTGAAATCCACAATTATGGAATACGGAAAGAATTCATCTCAAACTATTGGAATGGCACCATAGGTTACATAAATGTATATTAACCAAGCAGAGGTGGAATAACCAATACCACAACAATTACAAACATATCTGACCCTAATGCTGTGCCTAGAATACAACACACATTTAAGAAAGAGATTTCATTGGTCGGTTCCTTTGTGTTACACATAATTCACATAAAAAACCAGAGTGGGAACCTAGAGAGTGTTTAAATGTTACTCGGTTCTTTATAAATGTCCTACCACAGATGACGTCACATAACAGTCCGACATTTTAGAGGGAGGTAAGACTGGGTTTCCCGGTTTTCTGAGGCTTTTAACGACCCCAAAACATCTAGAACTGACCCTAACCCCAACCCACCTACGTCTCACTAGAGAGTGCAGCCTAGGTCCCACGACTGTATGCAGCCTATCTACCACATTGTGAAATATTAGACTGTCCCGTGACCTATAGATTTCCCCTGTTTGGGGTAGGATATTTAAAAAACCACCTGTAAATTCTGTCAATCAAAGAACCCTTTTCCGTGCCTTTAAACTATTGGGAATATACCGCTAGGCCTATGTCTTATAGATCAGTCGGCACTTGGTGGGTGACGTGTCAACATCATATCCGCCGCCTTTACTACCCAGGACTTTTCCTGGTACCCATTTGAGCCTGGATCGATCTGGAAGCCAATGTCATGCCTGGAAAAAATCAGGCTACATAGAGATTTCAAACCACGACCTTCCGATCCGCAGGCAACTGATTAGCCGCTACACCACGGGGGATACTTTGGGATAGAGGGTGGGGCGGGGGTAGAGGTATCGGGGGGGGGGGGGGACAAAAATCCGTTTACCCCCGACTCTATTTACTCCCACGCCGATGTATAGACTATCGTTTTCTAATATCAGTGGTCATACAAAGACTTCTTAGGCGCTAAAATCGCGCAAACTCCACTGGTAAGGAGGCCCATTAAGATTAACTCTTGTTGAAAACAATATTCAATATCATAGTACCAGAGAGAGAGAGAGAGAGAGAGAGAGAGAGAGAGAGAGAGAGGAGAGAGAGAGAGAGAGAGAGAGAGGAGAGAGAGAGAGAGGGAGAGAGAGGATAAGACAGATGAGTACTAGTCAGAGTGATTTCGTTACTTATAATTACACAGGAAGACACTGACGAAATAGACGAAGACTAGTAAAATAGAAGAAGACTCAAAAAGGACGAAGATCCTGGCAAAATAGACGAAGATCCTGGCAAAATAGACGAAGGTCCTGGCAAATGGATGGAGACTGGCAAAATGGAGACTCTGCCAAAAATAGATTAATACTCTAGAAAACTAGATGGAGACTGACAAAATAGATAAACTTGCTATCAAAATAGACGAAGATCCTCGCAAAACAGACGAACTCCCTATCAAAATTGATTAGGACCCTGACAAAATAGACGAACTCCCTATCAAAATAGATTAAGACCCTGACAAAACAGCCGACCTCCCTATCAAAATAGATTAAGACCCAGACAAAACAGACAAACTCTTTATCAAAATAGATTAAGACCCTGACAAAACAGACGTACTCCCTATCAAAATAAAGACCCCGACAAAACAGACAAACTCCTTATCAAAATAGATTTAGACCCTGACAAAACAGACAAACTCCCTATCAAAATAGATTAAGACCCTGACAAAACAGACAAACTCCCTATCAAAATTGATTAAGACCCTGACAAAACAGACGAACTCCCTATCAAAATAGATTAAGACCCTGACAAAACAGACGTACTCTCTATCAAAATAAATTAAGACCCAGACAAAACAGACGTACTCCTTATCAAAATAGATTAAAACCCTGACAAAACAGACGAACTCCCTATCAAAATAAATTCAGACCCAGACAAAACAGACGAACTCCTTATCAAAATAGATTAAAACCCTGACAAAACAGACGAACTCCTTATCAAAATAGATTAAAACCCTGACAAAACAGACGAACTCCCTATCAAAATAAATTAAGACCCAGACAAAACAGACGAACTCCTTATCAAAATAGATTAAGACCCTGACAAAACAGACGAACTCCTTATCAAAACAGACAAAGACCCTGACTAAATCCATGAATACCCTGGAAGAAAAAACTGAAAATGAAATCAGTAAAGGACTCAACGTTTGTAGAGCATCGGACATTGACGCTAAACTCTTATATTATAGACCAACCAGCACTCGGTGGCTGATGTGGTCAATATCACGCCGGCAGCCTTTACTTCCCTTGACATCAGCAGGTAGATATTTTATGTTGAACCGACCTAGGAGCCAAGGTCAATTTTTTAAGAATAAAATCCCACTCGATACGGATTTAAACCCAAGAACTTCGGTCCGTGAGGCGAGCGTGTAGCAAAAGCTGAGGAGTCGGCTAAATTCGGGCGCAGTGTAAGCAAGTCATACAGGTTGAAGTGGGATGTAACTAGCTCCTCCCTCATATGAAAAAAAAAAAAGATAGAGGCAGACCAACAGGGTACGCTCCTAATACCTCGATCAACCTGCCTAAAAGTTATAAAAAGTGCAACCTTAACAGCCATACCAGACTGGTTTAACTTGTGTGGGTAAGGATCGTGTATACTGTCAATGAACTAGGTATAGCATTTATAGGGGTCTTATATATATATATATTTGTAACATTTATAGTAGCTGTTTATATATATATATATATATATATATATATATATATATATATATATATATATATATATATATATATATATTGTAATAACTTGTAATATTTCTAGAGGTCGTTTGTATAAATATTTATATGTACTTATAACATGTATCCCCATCATCACCCCGTAACACTACGTGTCATTGGGTCACCAGTTTTTGTTGACTGTCTGATCAGCTCTCTCCACCTTTGGCGGTCAGTTGCGATGGACTTCATGGCTGCATGCCTGAGGCCTGTCCAGTCAGTCAAGTTCTGTAACCAGGTCTTTCTTGGTCTGCCTCTTCTCCTCTTTCCCTCTACGGAGCCCTGCAGTATTGTTTTTGAGAGGCCGTTAGATCTTATTACATGTCCATACCATTACATTTTCGCCTTTTCACTGTAATTAAAAGAGGTTCATAGTTGCCAGTGTGCTGTATAATTGTATGGCGAACCTCTTCGTTTGTGGTCTCTAAATGACATGCCAAGAATCTTTCTAAAACATCACATTTCCAAAGCTTGTATCTTCCTTTAGAGTTCAGCTGTTAAGGTCCAAGTTTCACAGGCATATGTAAATGTACTACAAGCTAGTGATCTGAGCAATCGAATCTTAGTTTTACATGAAATGTTTCTTGATCTCCGTAATGTTTGCTGCTTGGCAGGGATTTTAACATTTATAGGAGACGTATTTATTGGTACGTATCATATTTACAGCTGGCGAGAAACCTTTCCCTGTGGAATGTCAGATGTTGGTTAAGCCCCCGAAAGGGATCACAATTATTCATCACAACCTGGAGACTCCTGTAAGTAGATTTCAATTTTCTATTTAGTGTGAGATTGGAGCGATAGTCTCTTATTTGGACGACCCCTGTTCGAATCCCAGTTACAGAGATATATTTGTTCTTTTAAATATTACGGGCAAACACAAAATCTACAATCGTAGTGACTGTCAGTTTGCACTCCTGGAGTGGGTACTACAGAAAAAAGAGATGTAGAACGCCTCATAAATTTCCATACATAGGAAAAACACCATTGTTTTGATACCTTTTAAATTTCAATACATAGAAAAAACACCATTGTTTTAAAACCCTATAAATTTTCATCCATAGGAAAAACACCATTGTTTTGAAGCCCTATAAATTTTCATGCATAGAAAAAACACCATTGTTTTGAAACCCTATAAATTTTCATACATGGAAAAAACACCATTGTTTTGAAGCCCTGTAAATTTTCATGCATAGGAAAAAACACTATTGTTTTGAAACCCTATAAATTTTCATGCATAGGAAAAAAACACTATTGTTTTGAAACCCTATAAATTTTCATGCATAGAAAAAACACTATTGTTTTGAAACCCTATAAACTTCTGTACATATGAACAACACCACTGTTTTCACATCATTGGACACATTATAAATCTGATTACTGAATTAGAATCGTCATCATAGCACACCGCACATACCCATAGAAGCTCCGTCTCTGGCAGCAAATATCCCAAGGCAGCGGCGGTTCTCAACAAGCCGACCGCGACCCCTTTTTGGGGTTAAATTACCATCTCACAGGGGTCGCCTAGGATCTCGGGAAACACATTTTCATGAAATTTTTAAAGGAAATTGTCGCGCGCCCACGTGGGTAAATACACTGATATAGTGAGGGTGTGGGTTTGAACCTTAACAATGCCCACCCACGTGAGAAACTGGACTATTATCTAAGCTATGTTGATCCTAGACAGTCCTGGATAGCCAAGAAAACAGCGAGTGGCTCGTTCCATGAAATGAAAGTTGCTGTACTTGTATCCACAGGAGTAGGAGAAGGGATAGATAGATATCAGGATACACCCACTGTGATATTATCTCGATACACAGTTAACAGCTGCGACTATTCTCCTCTCCTGGCATTACTTAAAAGCCCCCATCAAGTGATTTAAATATTTGTTAGCTGAAGTAAACTAATATGCACAAAGACACTTGAACCTAAGTACACAATTTAATCAACTATGTTTTAACAACTTCAACCATGATTTATTTGAATAAATCGAAATTAAAATGAACTTGTTTAGGCTAGTAGAGTTGGAATGATGTGGATGATGAAATCATAAAGGTATTGGAAAGTAACAACCTTTGGACAGTTCTCGGCTTGAGATCCTGCCTATCTTTTCCAGTTTGTCGTCCTCACTGCTTTCTGCAGGTCGTTACACTCGACGGTCGGCAAATAATGGATGCCTACTAGTCCCTGCCCAATGTGGGAACTGGAGAATGAAGAAACAAGCGCATATTTGTAGTATCTGCTCTAGATGTACACTAAGCATGTATATTATACTAACATCAAGCATGTTTATTTAAATAAAACATTTCATCTCTCCCTCATGCTCACATTCACTCCTGTCCAATTTGGAAGGGCTTATGTCTCACATTCCAACTGTTACATCTTCTGCCTTCCTCTACACGTCCTGTAATGATAGTCAAGTCTTCTACGTCAGGTGCCATCTCTCGTACAGACTCAAAATGACAGTCAGACAGAATCAGTTCTGGAATCTATGCTTGGAACAATCGACGCGCCCAGAAAGCTAACAATAGTTCTCGGGCGAATCAAATAACAAATCTCGTGGATTTACTCTCCGGGATCAATCTCCGCATTAGCCTCCCGAGAGTTAAACACATTTCAGTGTGTTAGCTGTATGTAATACAGATTCACATTAACCACACGTGAAAAGATTGCCAAAGTTATCTTCACGCTTGTGATTTCAAAAACATGATAGTTCATTAAATTTCAATGGCAACAACAACATTTAGGTTTTACAACATTGAAACACATGTACACGAAAAACATTCATGACACTATCAAATAGAAAATAAAGCAATGTGACAGTGCCCTACGAGAATGAAGAAATGTCCGCCTAGGAGTACTACAAAGTAATGAAGACACACTTGAGCAAAAACAGTTAGATTTCTATCACAAAATATAGATTTGAACCTAATTTCGATCTTACCTGGAAAAATGAAACCACGATGCCAAAAGTTCTGTCTCAAGCTTAGGTTAAGCCCAACAGATGGCATGTGCTAGACAGGATCTCATTTACCAGACCTAGAGTTCACCCCTTTATAACTTTTATCAAGCTCCTCCTACATTACGCCTAAAATCATTCTCATTCAAGGATATCACAGCTCCCCCCTGTGGGTAAGTTTATTCGCTGTCAGTCAGGGCTGTACAACACTTGTTTAAATTCCCACGCTAGGATCTCCTGGTCAATTCATCTGACCAGAGCAAATAGGACAAGTCACACCTCCGGCCTATTTCACCTGCCATCACAATAAAATCAGACGGTGTCAATTCTTCTGTTAACACTTTCTGCTCACCATGTCAATAGTGACCGTCGGACCTGCCGTCGAGTTAGGTAACCTCAGGGGGAATTAAACACAATTAGCCGGAGTTAGCTGCTCCTAAAAGTCTGGCTAGGAGATAAAATATCTGACACCAACAGATGGTGTGCAAATCTCCAGTCAGTAAGTCTGCTTGGTCAGTCTTATCTCTGTACCTCAACACTTAACGTCTGGGAAAAAGTTTTAGTGTGTGATATCGCCAACATCCCAGGAGAATTAAATGCTTGTTCATTTCGCCTACTTAGATTAAGGATGTATCCAAATCCCTATTTTCCTGTATACTTTCAAAATACAAAGAAATAAAAGTAGGTTGAGGAAAGACATTCTGGAGTCACCGAGCGTATTGTCACAGAAACCCTATAAATTTTCATGCATAGAAAAAAACACTATTGTTTTGAAACCCTATAAACTTCTGTACATATGAACAACACCACTGTTTTCACATCATTGGACACATTATAAATCTGATTACTGAATTAGAATCGTCATCATAGCACACCGCACATACCCATAGAAGCTCCGTCTCTGGCAGCAAATATCCCAAGGCAGCGGCGGTTCTCAACAAGCCGACCGCGACCCCTTTTTGGGGTTAAATTACCATCTCACAGGGGTCGTCTAGGATCTCGGGAAACAAATTTTCATGAAATTTTTAAAGGAAAATAATTAAATGGGTGTCGCCACAACATGAGGGAACTATATTAAAGGGTCGCCGCATTAGGAAGGTTGAAAGCCTCTATCCGAAGGTGTAGATACTGGCTTTGTCCATACTCTTGCAGAACATAACGAACTTAACAAGCATATGTACAGGCTTCGTTCAAGTAGTTCACCATTGTCCCCTTGTGGGCTATGTGTGTAGACTACAGAACATGTCCTGCAAGACTGTCCCTTGTTCAGCCCATTGAGAAGTGAATAATACTGGCCCAGTAAGTCGACCTTGCATTAAGAGTTGAATGGAACTAAAAGGGAACTCCCAAACACAGTCACGTTTATCATAAGATCTTTTCTCTCGGTGTAAATCAAAAAGCTAACACAAAAAAAGCCAGAAAAAAAAGACAGAAAGAGATCAAAGACAGTAATCCTTTAGGTCTGTTTTGAGTATGTGGAGGTATGTAAATTTATCCTTAACCGCACAGGGCTGCATGTAACACCTGGCTAGTGTATAAGAGGTTGAAGTGGGTATCTGGCATTTGCCCTATTGAGATTTTGTAATCACCGGGTGGCCAAGCTTTCAGGTAGCAGCACGGAGAGGGAAAACGGAAGGAACGAAGTATAGAAAGTAATTATGCCTTAAAATGTGTTTGAAGACGAGAGGACGAGTTCTCTGCACTGTGTCGTATCCAGTAAAGCCAGATCTCTATGCTCGCTAAAGACGACTCATAAAGTACGATTCTATGGATTCAATGGATTCAATGGATTCAATGGTTCCAATGGCGATCCATAGGACCCCTCCTCATCCTACCCCCATCCTCTTTAAAAAAAAAACCCAGCATTCTCGAATCGAACATCGGAGCCTGGAGTCAAAGCCACGATCTTAAATGCCAGACAAACTACCAGACTCGGAGACTACGTCAGCATTTAGCTACTATATCTATCGTGGGTTTTGTCGGTCATCGTTTCAAGAAACGGTTATATGCAACCGGGTGAGACCAGAATATGTTCACACCCGCCCCTCTCTGTCCAGACTAGGCTAAATCTGCTGTAAACGTGTACATCTTCTTCTTTCTCTAAGCCAGTGGTTCAAAACTTTTCTAACGCCGCGACCCTTTAATACTATTCGTCGTGTTGTGGTAACCCCCTACCATAATATTATTTTCGTTGCTATCTCATAACTTCAGAGACTTTGTGTTTTGCGATAGTCTTAGGCGACCCCTGTAAAAGGGTCGTTCGATCCCCAAACTGGTCGAGACCCACAGGTTAAGAACCGCTGCTCTAAGGGTTTATCGGCGTAAACTAACTCAGATGGAAAGTTCTCGTTTGTTCGTGAACTAGTAGACTTTGGTCTTGATTCAGAACTTGAGTTTTGCTGGCACATCTGTTTTACAAACTGGCTCTTTTTTGTGTGCGCACCCCCCCCCCCCCCCCATAGGCAAATGCACTTCAAATTTGAAGGAAACACACATAATTGATCACCTCCTACGACATGCTTGTAGGGGGCAGTCGGTCACCTGTTTGTTCTCTAAAACTGAGCCCTGAACCACTATAGGGATATATATATATATATATATATATATATATATATATATATATATAACATGATCAAATGGAATGTTCTGTTAAAGTCGAGATGATCCACTTCATTGTACCAGGTTTTATCGAAAATGATTCAGCTTCTCTTTCAGAACGATAGAGAGCACCGCACAGAGCACGCACACTGAAGCTTCATTGATGATCCGTAGGAGTTTCTGTTAAAAACTGCACTCGTTAACTAAACGTTACGTCTGTGAAACGAACACACGATCTGCAGAATGCATGGCAATCGGTCTGACCACATGCTCTATTATGGTTTCTCCTTTCATTGTTTCAGGAAGCGCTTGTATTCGTAAGGTGGCACCACAATACGTTTCCTCAAAACAAGAAGACCTACACCCCAAAATGAGCCGTAGTGCGACTTTTTTAGATACAAGTCAAGTTAAGGACCCTTTTCCACGCCTTTCATTTGTAGTGGGTACATAGGACCAGACCTATATTTCATAGACAAAACGGAACTTGGTGGGTGATTTGTTCAGCATCAACCGGCCGCCTTTACTTCCCAGGACTGTACCCGGTACCCATTCAAGACTAGGTCGACCTGGAAGCCAAGGTCATTTTTGAAAAAATCCGGCTCTCGTCAGGAACGGAACCCATGACCTTCCGATCCGCAGGCGAGCTTCTAGCCACTAGACCAGGGCGGCTCCAGAATTGTGTTTTTAGATCATCTATATATAAGCCGTGCCCCCCGCAAAACCCAGGGTGTGATCGTTGGGTAGTCTGAGAGACTTGTTGGCGAATAGCCAGTCAGAGCACACACGCCACTGGGTGATGAAATGGAGTCGTAAAAAGTTATGTCTGGAATTCGGGATTTGGAGAGTTATGGCGATGTTCCAGAAGAAGAGGACATATAAACTAAAGTAAAGGACCTTTTTCCACACTTTCAGGCGTATTGGGCATAAAGGGCTAGACCTATTTTATAGACCAATCGGCACTTAGTAGGTGATGTGGTCGCCTTTACTTCCCAGGACTTGTACCTGGTACACATTCAAGGCTGGGTCGACCTGGGAGCCAAGGTCATTTGGAGAGGGGGTGGGTAGGGGGGGGGGTGAGTCTGCCTCCCATCATTAACGTAGATTTTTGTATCTGCAGAAATAGACATCCGACGAAAATACAGCCTGTTGTATTTTTAAGCTAAAATAAATATAAGACCCGGTCTTGTTTCAGGGAAAGAATGTCTATTCACGCTTCACCTAGGAGACCAAGCTATTATTTATTTATATATAATTTATCATGGCTGTTTCTTTCTTCGTTTCAGTTTGCAGTTACACCCGAGAGGGTGAAACCAGAATATCTGCGTGCTTCGCCGGCTCAGATTCGAGCCCTAATGAAAAGATCAACCATCTGCACCCAGTCCATCACCTTCAACTGCTACAGAACCAGCATCCCGACATTTGGAGGTGACACACTTTCCCTCCCTTCTAACTTGCTGCTACGACTCTGCCAGCTCTTCATTGGACAGTTGACACGCGTGTTGTGGTTTACAGCTAGGTTGTGATAGCTATGACTTTCGTTGCAACAAATCAGATTTCGGGAGCCCGGCGGGGGAGTGGGGGTGGGGGGGGGGGGCCTACGAGCAATGGGCTTATTTTATTTTTTTTCATTATTCCTCACAAAAGGACCCCGAAACCGACACAGCGATTCACTTTTTCTTTCTACAAACCCTCTGCTACCATCTCAACATTTAGTTTAAGTTTCTACAAATCCTTCAGTACAGCGGTTCTCACACTTTTTTTTTTTCGCCGCAGCGCCCTAGTCGGTCAAGAATTGTTTTTCCCGGCACAGCTACCCTTTAAGCGGTTGAATACTTAGGAAGAGAAGAAAAGAGAGTGCAAATTTAGTGTTCGTCTTTAATGCGATGAATGTAACTGTTTGGATGAGTTTTCATTACTACCGCGGCACCCCCGGCATACGCTCGCGACACTCTGGGTTGCCGAAGCACCCAGTTTGAGAACCACTGCTTTATGAATTCTCTACGTTTGGATCCTGAAGAGTATCAAGTTTTTATACATTTTCTTGGTCGGTTAACCTCTAAGAATCTTCTTGGTTACATTTCATGTGTCTGTGGCTTAGGCGTTGAGAACTTATTTCGTAGTTATGATGTGCCGGGTTCTATCAAGCAGCTGGTTGTTTGGCGAAAGACGACTTTGCAGTGGTTCAACAGTGGCATTGAGAGCCAACCGTTGAGTGAAAATAGCAAATTACTGAATGTAAATTGCCTAGTAAAATCACAATCAGCCCACACAAAAAAATGCTAGGGTTGGTCCTGCAACGTTCTGTGAAGGACACGTAACAAACATTTCTTTCTTCAATGACATTTTAATTCAAAGGTCACTTTGAACAAACAAAATCGAACTACTCTCTTGTACTATAAGCAAAGTTTAAGGAAAGGGGGGGGGGGATCCTGTAATAGAGGAAGAGGAGGAGATAATATAAAGAATAATATTTTAAAAACCTACTTCTTGAACCTATTTCTACTTTAAACATACAAGAGCTCCAACAAACTTTGTCGTGGTGAGTGTAAGCCAACCTACACTCGAGCTGCCTCAGTGACAAGAAAGAAAAAGGGGAGTGAGGAGTTCGTTAGGTGGGGGCTAAGACCAATACAGTCTTAATCCAGACAGGATATGTTCTGTATGAAGTCTAAGCAGTGGTAACAGTAAAACCGGGCACATTAACTACAAGTCCTAACCCGAATCAAAATAACTGGAACTATAATCATCACATGAAGCAGCGTTCCTGACTTAGGTGTTGCAAGTCCGACTCGTAATTCCAATGTACCGCGATCGAAACCCACTGCTGGCTGCGTTTTATCGGGGTATGGGGCGTCGCTGGTTGACCCAGCCAAAAATGGGTACCAGGATAGCTGTCTTCGGGAATTAGAGATGGCCGGCGTAATGCTGACCTCATTACCTACCTAATGCCAATGGTCAGAAAAACTATGGGCGCTCTTCTCATATACCCAATGCGCCTAAAGGTGTGTAAAGGGATCTTTACTTGACTTTACTTATAATTATGACATTAAACATCTGTTTATTTTACTAAATACAAAACTAACGCTGCTTCACAGATAACTTTATATTTAAAAAATACATCGTGTCCACATACACCACGTACTACGTACCTCCTCTAGCAAAGTTGAAAATTCGCTTCTAGCGACAAAAAATCAAATATCTGCGAGCAATGGTACACACTGATATCTCTATCCACACAGTTTAACAACTGTAGAAAATTCAGAGCTAACTATAGAAACGTACCACCGTCGTAATCAGTCAGACAATCCCATCTCTCTATATCTCTCTCTCTCTCTCTCTCTCTCTCTCTCTCTCTCTCTCTCTCTCTCTCTCTCTCTCTCTCTCTCTCTCCTCAGTCTGTCGCACCTGCGCTGCGGACCTCGTGCGGTCACACAACAGCAGAACGGCCGACCCCACGAGCCGAGAACCCTCCGAGAGAGGGCGAGGCACAGTACATGACCTTTTTATTGACACCATGACTCTCCGAGCTGCCAGATTTCTCCTGAAAGTGCAGCTAAACAAATAAATTATAAACGACCTTTGCCTCCTGGCACACCAGGATTTACATCACTATGTTGTCAAGGGACAGATGTACCCTGTCAGCAGTTTTATTTTAAGCCATATATTCACGTCGTCATTATTTACGAAATTTTAATTAGTGCTAAATCCTGAATATATACTTCATATACTATAATATGAACTGTCAAATCTTGCAAATATACTTCAGATACTGTAAAATCAATTATCAAATCCTGCATTTAAACCTCAGATAATATAACACGAAGTGTCAAATCTTTCATAAATACTTCAGAGACTGTAACACGAACTGTCAAATTCTTTATATATACTTCAGATACTGAAACGCTACCTGTCCAATTTGCATATATGTTTCAGATACTGTAATACGAACTGTCAAATCTTGCGTATGTTCCTCAGATATTATAACACGAACATCCATGCTTGCATGTATTTCTCTGAAACTAAAAAATGGACTGTCCAACCCCATATATTCCCCAGATACTATAACATTTATTGGAGGAGACGAAATTCACTACAGTGTACTGGAATTCTTAACCAGCTGCGGACCCAATCGTGACCAGTGCAAATGTAGTCAAGGACAAAGGAGGAGGTACTGTGTGTTTGTGTTTATCAGTGGTCTGATGATTGTGTAATACAAATGTTGATTTTCGCTTCTACTTTTGGGCAACTGAGACTTGTCAATGTGTCGACAGTCAGTAATTCAGTTCTACGCCTTAGAACAGGACACAGTCGACTTCGCAGCCACATGTACACAAAATATAAGAGTGGCGAATCAGTCAGGTGTACATGTGGATTGGCATCTGAAATAACAGATCACGTCCTTTAAGACTGCCCCAAATACAACATGTCAAGGCAACACTTTTGGCCAAGAGAAACATCAGTGCAAGCCAAACTTGACGGGTCGTTGAGTCGTTGAGTAAATTACAACAGACAGTGAAGTTCATACTAGAGACAACATTGCAGATACAGATTATCTACAAGCGAACGAAAGAAGAAGAAATAGAAGACGAAAAAGAAGTAGAAGA